ATCCGCCGAGCTTCACACTGCAACGCAGCAGCCCTTTGTGCAGGCTCTCCTGAACACTGAGGCCGAAGAAAATGCACTGGATGTCTTCAATGCAGCTTGTGAGCTCGGGCAACGCTAGTGTGATTTGGACCTACGCAGCCAAGTGCTGCAAGTTCACAAAGATTTCGCCAAAGGGATTGAAAATGCCCGGCGACTTCCTACAACAAGTTGAAGCAGCTGCTTGGAGTCAAGCCCAAATTGCCCGGAGCCCAGCAGTGTCAGCACTGTGCTTGGATGTTTTCGACCCACCAAACATGTGTAGATGTCGAGTTTGGCAGATGAGTATGTCCCTCGCTGAAGCATCAGGTCGGAAAGGAAAGATGACGGAGATGAGACGCGGGAGTTGAATTCAAAAGCTCTGGCAATTTCAGACGCTTGGACAAAATTGTTCAGCTTTCGTGCCAGCTGCCAACGTTGCAACTCTTCGATGCCGTCTGGCACCTGGCGTTGCAGTTGCTGGAGTCATGCAGCAAGCAAACCTTCAAGTATTGGACTGACACGTACTTTGACAAGATCCCGGCGACAGCTTTACAGAAGCAGTTCCGCTGCAGCGCTGCGGCCTGGGGGCGGTCGTCCTTGTGGTTTGCAGGGTTCTGGTCTGGAATTGTTGGTACCTATCCCGGCAGCGGGTCCGGGTCCCAGACAATCGAAAGCTTCCACTCACAGTGGCAAGCTCTTGTGCAGGGGCAGGTGCGCGCGCAGACAACCAACATATTCAGCTGCATGGAGCGTATCTACCAGCGCGAGTGGGCAGATAAATTCCGGTGGGGGCACGCCATGCATGTTGTGACATGGCCGGAGGTGCCCGCAGCAGCATTACTCAACAGTGATAGTCTGCGTGCGTCAGGCCGGTCCACTGCCGTGGACTTCTGGCATCACCGAGAAGCACGATTGTGTGGCAACGGGAACTACTTCCACATGTACTGGCGAACAGATAGCCCAGGCAGCACGGCTGCTGACGGCATGACGGAGTTCTGGGTCATGCAGGCTCGGAAAACCGGCAATCCGGGTGTAGCACCCGCCGCCGCAGTCATCAACAAAGACGTCGGAGAAGCCGTCGTGAAGTTGATCTGTTCAGAAGGCAGTGACCTATATGATGGAGGCAACTGGGCTTGCAGCTGATGGCCAGCTTGATGTGGCAAGATTGGAATATCTCTTCCAAGACCACTGTGCCATCATGCGGGGGCACTTGCCGAACTCGTCATGGCCACGTCACCGACGACGGGGTGGTGAAATCGTGCCCTCATTGGTTTGTTCCTGCTGCACTTTCATGATGCACGGCGAGTGCGAACATGTGCTGTTTGTGCGAGCGCTGCTGGGGGATCCTGTGGTCAACTTGAAGGCAGTGCCCGTCCTGCGAAAGCGGGGCCGCAAGAGAAAGCAGGGATCCCTGGACAGCCTCGCGAAAACCGCGGTCAAGGCCAAAAAGGTGCAGAAGGTGCTGAAAGCACCCAGGAAGAAGTAGAGAGCGGTTTGACTAGGGCACCCAGCGCAGCTACAAGAGCCCAAAAATCGCGCAGAGCACATGCCGACCATGTCTTCCATCCTGCGTGTGTCAAAGTCTGAAGTCGCAGCTATTCGCAGCTCATGTAAGCCGGGCAAGCTTGCTGTCAAGAACATCATGCCCTCAAGAACTTGCGCTTTGCAAATGATAACTCTGATGAAACTTATCATAATCAATCGTTTACGAGTTGTTGCTGCCCCTTGCAGTCCCCTTCTAGGCCTCTGACCCTGCAGAACCCGTCATACAGGCATGGTGTTTGCAGCTTCGAATAGCACCCAGCCAGAAGAGCGCAATGCTGGAGGTAGGGGGACTTTCTGCTTCAGCCGTGCAGGCTTGCCTTCCAGAACACCACCGCAGCTCTTATGGAACTTCGTTCAAGCACCATCATATAGAGGCAGTCTGTTTGCGAATGAGGTGGAGCAGCGGCTATCCCAACCGCGCTTTGCTTAAGCCGTGCAAATTGTCTTCGAGTCTGATGCTGCCCGCAAAAACCGAATCCATATGAACTCTGTCAAAAGCCGTGATACAGGGAGAAGGGGGGCTGTGCCCTTCACTTCAAGTACGATGCTACCCGCAAAAACCGAACCTTTATGGACCCTGTCAAGCCGCGATACAAGTGCAACAGAGCCGTGGTACAAATTCTCTGTTTGCAAGTGGGGGGGGGCTGCGCCCCCCCAACCCCCCGCTTTCTTTCTAAGCCGCGCAGGCTTGCTTTCGCAAGAATCGCAGGAACATCCAGATTATGTGCATGAAAGCTGAGAAAAACATGGCAGGCACCGCAAGTCAGCAGAGGAGCAGTCTCGGGACCCGGGCTGTGGCCCGCCCCAACCCCCCCCGCTTTCTGTCTAAGGCGTGCAAATTCGCTTCAAGTATGATGCTGCCCGCAAAAACCGAACCCGTATGGACCCTGTCGTATGGACCCTGTCAAAAGCCGTGCCCCCGCTTTTTTTATATACTAAACTCTCCGCTCACGAAAGCCGCGAAGAGATGCACAAAAGCGTGTTCGCCAACACACACGAAGGGGAAAGCCAGACAACAACGCCTAAGAGGGTTTTAACGCGAAGAAGACACAATCAATCGCGAAGGATGAAAAGTTTGCACCGGGCCGCCAAACCTTAAACAAAAAAAGAGCCTCCACCCAAATTAAGGCAATGCCGTCTGTGAGGTTTTGGGCATGGATTTTCTGTTTTCAAACTCTTTCAACCATGAACGTCGTTTTGCTCTGGGCATGGAGGCATATGGGAGCTCTGAGAGGAAAGGGGCAAATAAAGCAGGTTTGATCGAGGCGAGAGTATCCAGAGGGGGCGGAAGAAGAGGGGACGGGGCCAGAGAAAACATGACAGGGGGCTAGTTGGAACATGTGGGGGGCTGAAAAAAACAGGGGGGGTGGACCAGCACATGGTTGAGGGTCGAAAAAAAAAAACATCCCCAAAGCATAACTACCACGTCAGCTTCTACGAGTACACGGAACCAGTACCCTTGTGCCAGTACTAGTACCATTGCCAGTGCCAATACTAGTACCCGTGCCAGTGCCAGTACAACTACTACTGATACTACCACTACTACTACTACTACTACTACTACTACTACTCCTGCTACTATGCCACCACCACCACCACGGCTCACGACGACGACTCCTACTTCCACACCACTATCACGATTATGGAAAGCGCACAACGCTCAAAATCCTAAACCTTAAAACGTCGGACCCGGAGGCCCTAACGCCCTAAGCCCCAGACTCCCAAAACTACTTCTGTCCAAACCCGCACCCTCAAGCCCCGTGAAGCCTTGCAATTACTACTACTATTTAGTACTACTGTTATTATCTTCATGAAACATGCTTGTCATTGTCTTACCCTGTTATTTGTTATTCATTATTTGTTCTGGGTTGTTATTGCTCATGTACTGTTGCATTTCTGCAGGCTTTAGTGACTGGTTATTAGTGCGGTCATTCGTGGTTTTCTGTGTGTTCATTGGTATTCGATGTTTATATTACTTGGTTTAGCTTACCGGTTGATGCGCTTGTATGTATCATTGTTTCTGCATGTCATCCTTATTCATTATCACTTGTTAGTGTACATATGATGTATGTGTATATATATATATATACTCCTACTATACCCAGGCTTGACTCCTTCCCTGCTGCAGAGACATGGATTCACAAGTTGACGGGTAGCGGCCCCAGTTTTCGACTGTTTGTTTACGGGTTTGGGAATTAGGGCGATCGAACTCCGGGCGAAGTGGAAAGCCTGTTGCAAAAGGCGCGATCGAGCTTGTTTTGACCTACTGGATGTAGGGCCGCGGGGCTTTCGGCTTCAACGGTTAAGGGATTTAGGTTTTGAGAGCTGGCATCTGGAGCCAGCTGAAGGGATCCACGGCTTAGTGCATTGCAGACCCCTGCTCAAAACAGATGGTTAAGGCCTCGGTCAGTCAAGCAGACGATGGGTTTTCCAGTGCTGAGGCAGTGAGCCCGTCGGGTAGAGCCGCAGGCTCCTCCTGGTCCACTTTTTCTGGAGGCACCTGGACATGCAATGTCTCCAGGAGAAGGTAGAATCTCAGATTCGCATCTCCGTTGCTTGGGGACATGGCCACGGGCCGCACCACAAGAAGAAGTTAGAGCTTACGCTGCAGGCTCACCAAACGTAGGTCTGAGATATCCCGACTACTTTGAGGCTGGAGGGCTTTGGCATTTTGCAGTTTAGGTTTCGGAGTTGTGTTTGCCCTCTCTAGCTTCGCCAATGTTTTAAAGTGTTGTGAATGCATCTATTTAAAGTGTGCATCGAACTCCTTCGTGCAGGCCAGCAGATCATGGACAATATGGGCGGCATCGTGACTGACTATGTGCCGATGCGTTTCCCGCGATGTTTCTTTGATGTGTGTGCAAGTGGCCAGTCTTTGCACAAAGATGGTCTCGGGCACGAATGCTACATGTTGCTGACCATACTTCGTTTCAAGTTGTAGTTTGCAGGGGGTTGCTTGGGGCTCATGGCGGACTGGAGCAAACCGTCCCCAAGTGGCCAACGATTATTGTGCGCGCAGCCTGTTCATAGCTTAAGGAAGCGTTCTGATGTTCGTTGCCGACTATTATGGACTTGGATTACGGTGTCCAACAAAACGATGCAGTTCCGTGTTCCCGCTTGCAGGGGTCCAGCAACTGGGATTCTGCAGTACCGCTGCGTGCTGGCTGAAGGAATCGGCTCTCAAAGTTAGACCTGCTCCACTTGTGCGGGGCCCATGTGCTCCAAAGACTGTGTAACATCTCACATATGCTTATGATTAAGTTGAGACTGTGACACTGGCGGCTCTGGCCGGTATTTGCAAACGGCCGTGAGGTTTGCACACCAGTATAACAGTATGTTGTGGCGACATTTGATTACACGCTTTGCGGCTCAATATGACCCCAAGAGACACCCTAGGCCCTAAGCCCCAAACCGTCTCCCTGAGCCCGTCTCTTGTGATGGCGATCGCCCTGACGCGCGAAGAGATCATTGGCCAGGCATCCTGCTGTCTCTTGACATCTTTTTTGTGCGTGCTTAGCTCTTTCCACAGTTGACCGATAGACTGCAAAGCCCCGAAGCCCCCTTCAAAAAAACGGAAAGGAAATGGCGAATGCCCTAAAGCTGTCCCAGTTCGTTCAGCAGCATCTGAAGCACCCTCAGTCCCAAATAAGTGCTGGCCATTAAGCTGGACCTTTCCGCGCCTCAAACTCGAAGCGTCCCCCCAAACCCTAAACTCTCCACGAACTCGAAGATTCAATGAGTTGATGTGCAGGTTCACCAGGCCGGCCGCTTGTACGACCGCGCCAAGGGAGCCCCCAATCGAGGCGTCCGTGGCCCAAGCAGAGGATTCAGGGTTGAGGTTTAGGGTTGGATTCAGGGTTTAGGGTTTAGCCCTGAGTAGTGCATTGCAGTCCCTGCTCAAAAAAAGGAGTTTAGGGTTTAGGGTTTAGGGTTGGATTCAGAGTTTAGGGTTTAGAGGACTGGCTTGACTTGATCCAGTATCAGGTACCGGGTGACTTGTTGGATGTTTTGAGGCGGCTTTGGGGTTCGGGGCTTGGCTTTTGTCTAGAGCCTGAACCAGAGCTGCGGTTGAGGGTTTAGGATTGAAGGGGGCTAAAGGGACCCCTTTAAAGTGTTCGAAAGGGATTTCAGGTCTAGGCTTTCGTGCCATTGGTCATTGAGATCAGCTAGAGCGAAGGATTGCGGCAGTAGCTGGCCCTGTTGCCTGGCGCTGGTTTTGTCACTGGTGTATTGATGCTTCTTATTAAGTTCGTAAATCAGACGAACAGGCACCCTGTATTTAAAGCCGCATTCCACTCTCCCCGGACAGGTGCCAGAAGAATCTGCAGAGGCAGCTTTGTGGGCTGGAGATAGTTGGATAGTAGATCGTCCCAAACCCTCAGGAACAAGGGTGATGTTCGAAAGCACAACGAACGACCGAGTCTAAACTGCGGTGGCATTAAATCTCTCTGCAGTCCACGCTCTTCCAGCAACGAGCATCGCTAGACTCACTGGAGCTACTCGTTGCCAACCACCTTTCCCGTGCCAGCCACATCCTCTCCCCTGTCGAAATACAACCCAACGCAGACTCTACGTCCGTTTGCTGACCATTTTTGGCGGTTCATGAGTCTGAGTGTTCTACCTGCAAGTCGATCCTTGCTCGGGTCACTTCTAGTCTCCATAGAAATACGTTTAACAGAAGGTGAGCCTGCCACGTTTGCCACCGACCCTAAATCCTAAAGCCCAAACTCTACATCCTCAACCCTCTATGCCCTAAACCCTTCCTAAACTCTAACCCGACATCCTAAACCCCTAAACCTTAAATCCTAAACCCTAAACCCTAAATCCTAAACCCTAAACCCTAAACCCCAACCCAAGCCCTGGGCCCAGGTCCTCGAGCAAAGAGCCGATCAGCTTTGCGTGGACCTTGCGGCAAAGATCGCGAGGCGCAGGGTCGAAGCGCTGAAAAGGTGTAGGGCGGTTTAGGGTTTGGGGTGTAGGGTTCAGGGTTTAGGGTTTAGGGTGTAGGGCTCAGGGTTGAATTGAAGCCCCGCTTTCTTTTTTTTAAAAGGGCCTTCTAATTAGAGCATGTTGTTCGGATATCTACTACTGCCTATACTTTCAAATACAGTTGCCTGATGGATTATTTTATAGGACCGTAATTATATAATGTTGAACTAGACCGACAGGGCACCTACAATGGAGACTATAGGTAGGGCTTAGGGCGAAGGTCGTTCGGTCGCGTTGGGTTTATAGGGGTGTGGGGTGTATGGGGCTTCAGGGCTTGAGGGTTTTTGAGGTGTTTAGAGATTCAAAGGATTTGGTGTAGCGGTTTAGGATCTATAGGCTCTGGGCTTTATACCACCCAACCCTGCTGCTGCTGCTACTGCTGCTGCTGCTGCTGCTGCTATGCATGTCCTACGGCTGCGCTGGCGACGACAACGGGTTCTCCTAGCACTAGCTAGCACTGGTGGCGCGACGATGCTTTCATGCAGTTATTTCTCACGCAGAATGACTGCAGCATGACTGGTGTGATGACTACGGCTAGGTGGTGTTGAAACTCTGACTCAGTTATTGATGTGTCCGCACTTCTTGTTGTATGTGGCTGCAACACCAAAAGTGCCGCCATCATTGCTGACTGGTACTGCCAGAGGCATCATTGTCCTCCCTGCTCCTATGCGTGTTGCCTTTCCTAGGCAAATCGAGGAAGAGGAGAAGCAAGCCGTGGATGACAGCATCGCGGGCATCCAGCCGGCCACCGCAGCTGTGCTCGGCTCAGCCACGTGGGTTTCCATGCCTGTTCTCGAGTCCTCTGCTAAATGTTTTCTTGGCTTGTTGCTGTTCGGCTCTACGGCCGTACTGCAGCTGTGCAGCTGATAGACAGCAAATTTGCCGGAGCTCTTTCGCCTTTCCTCTGGGGGTTCGGGATGTGGAGGCGTGCTAAGGTGCTAAGGTTTTCTTGAAGGTTAAGTCCGATAGCCTTCCTGGGGTTTCGGTGCCTGAGGATGTGACGCAGATTTACAGTATCAGATGTTTACAGTTGATTCTTACTTTAGTTTGAGCTGCGGCTGTGCAAGTTGTCTCTTCTTGCCAGTCCTTCAACCCCGAGACCAGAAATCCCGATGACCTCACTTCAAACTGGTTCCGAACAACAGAACATAAGCAAATACCAATGTAGAGGAGTGGCCGGGAACCCTCGAGCTCCCAAATTCCTGAGTCGGAGGCCACGGCGTCGAGGCCGAAGGCTCCGTCCAAGCCGAAACCCAGCCGCTGGAGCGTGGACTATTCCAGATTTGAGCCTCGGGCGAAAGCTGAGGGGTGATATGTAGGTCGTCAAGGTTTAAGGGAAACTTCATAGATATGCTGCAAGATATAGCTGCAGTCGAAGCAGTGTAAGCCGAAGTAAGTGGGGCTTTGCAGGTGTTGCTTCTTGCCTTGGTGCCTTTTGGGCCGCCTGACTTTCGGCAGTAATGGCTTGGCAAAGTTCAGGATCTAATACGCGGGCCTTAAGAATTACCTCTACTATTTTTGGGGGTCCTTCTTATGACTATGGTATACTATACCCCCAAGCCCCAGTCTAATTATTACGGCCCTTATATACATTATGGCTTTGAGTTTTAAAATTCTCAGCGCGGAGTGGAAATGACTTGAGCAGAGAGTAGCTCGCCGGGATGAAGGCTTAAACCTAGAATAGGGGCCTAAATAATTACCTATAAATTCTGGGGGCTCGTCATTAGAATTATGGTAGAATGGGCCCCAAAGCCCTCTTCCCCTACATTACACCCTGCAACCAATCCTTCACCCTCAACCCGAAACTGAAAGTCCCGAAACCCGAAACCCAGACACCCCATGTTGTTCAAGTTCATTGCCGGCACTCTATGGCACGCTGGAGCCTAGCAGACCTCAATCGTCACTCTTAGGCCCGTAATCCCGTAGTCCTCTAAAGGATGTTGTCCTCAATCCCCTTCAGCCTTAACATTCCAATGCCCTAAGCCCTTTTTGCCGTGTGTTCCATTTCAACCCGATGGTCCCCAAGCCCTTACTTGCAGGTTCACTGGTAGTTGTAAATCAAGTTATACGTCCCCTGATATGGGTTATGGCTACAGTTACCCGACTTACAAACCTACTTCTATGAACCTCCAAGTAGTACCCTAAACCCTAAACCCTAAGCAGTAGAGGTATTCCATCCGCCCTGCATAGCCGAGGAGGCCATCTCCCACGATGAGGACGACTCGTCTCCCAACCAGGCTCAGGCCGCGACGCCGAGTGGAGTCCGGGGCAGGATGAGTTTATGTCAACGATCTGTAATAGGGATAGGGTGGATGGACTGTAGGGGGGATAGGGTGGATGGGTCGGTTTTACCAGACTTTCTGGGCGGCTTTTGTGGGGTTGATAGAGGCGTAAAGCTTCATACAAGTACGGCCATGTGATACATAGATACAGACGGACAGACAGTCGTCCAGGCAAGCAGACGCACCGACAGACATACGCATGCAGAGTGTGCATACATATGTATACAAGTATGTAAGTAAGTATGTATGTATGTGTGAATGAATGAATGAATGAATGAATGAATGAATGAATGAATGAATGAATGAATGAATGAATGAATGAATGAATGCATGTATGAATGAATGAATGAATGAATGAATGAATGAATGAATGAATGAATGAATGAATGA